TATATGTGTGTGTATATTATTTTCCCCAGTATCCTCACCCATAATTCTAGTAACAAAGCATGTTCCTGGAACCTGTCACTTTTTGTCACTTGCACTTTTTGACTGAAACATGTGGATCTGCTTCACATCACTTCCGGTTAAATCTATTGTTTATTTTAGGTCAACAAGTCTTTAAATGAAACAATCAGAAAAGGAGAAGCCTAGCATTCTTAAGAACAAATATATGTAATGACTAAACCTGGCATTATGCTGAAAACAAGTATTTAGTAGTATATAGTAAAATAAGTTTGAAAAAAATCTAGGTTTAACATAAAGTAGATATAATTCTTTATTATTATTTATTGGTGTACAAACACCTAAAGATGCAGGCATAACTATATGATATTTCAATAGTTAAAGTATATAAACAGTTCATTTAACCATCTTTTCAATAAGTGACAATTTGATTTGTAAAGAGTTGTTTGTCTGTTATCAGGAGTGCTTTTTTTTTTGCCACAACTCCCGCCAAAAAACTCCAAGTAATCTTACACACATTTCTGCCATTGCTGCAGTTTTTTTCAATCCAAATCCTGTCCATAGCAGAGTTGCACCACCAGACAGGTAAAATGTGAACAAACATGTTTCTCAGCATGTCTGCTCCGTCACAATGGTTTGTGTTAAGTCTTCACTGTAAGGACACTATMTTTTTTAGCAAATACATGACATAAACAATCAGCTGTGAAAGGTGTGTCCACTCATGTTGTGATGAACATGATACATTTGGATTTCACTGTGTTCAAATCCACATTWTGATGGCTTAGGTCAGCTCAGCACTTGCTTTTAAGTGACATAAGAAACGCACACAATCACACACACACACACACGTATTTGAACTACAGTAACTTTATCAAGCACAAAGAGATAACTCAGTCAGTTTGATCAATATTGAGATCAAATTTGGTGTGAGTCATCCCCTACTCATGCTGACTGCTAAAAAAACAATTCTTTGTTTCAAACTTTGCCTATGAAAGCAGTCTTCCATCAAGGAGTGCTACTTTCTTTTTTTTAGCAATGTGAAAAAAACAGCTKATCTACAAACACATAAAATAATAAGCATTGTGTGAATAAAGGGTAAAATAAACACATTGTGAAACACATACTTGCTCTTTTTCTATCTGTATTCAATAAATAATAGAATAGACTCATTGCTAATGATTTGGCAATAACATTCTTTGCTAGAAATYCCAGTCCCCAGTAATTACTGCAATTATGGGTTCTGCCCTGCCTCATCTGAACTAAAAAAAAAACTGTCCATAACGACAAAGCTTGTGGCTAACTTATTTTGATGCACATTATTAGAAAGGGCTGCTTCATCTCATAATGTCCCATTATAAAGTGCTTTGAGGGAAGACATGTATTAAAGAGTCCAATGTCACTTACTGACCTCCAATTAACTGAACTTATGTTTTTTAGATTGTTGGAAGAAATTTAACTTGGAGCAAAACTTGCACAGCATTGATTATAACCTTTAGCTTTGATGTAACTATGCCAACCATTACAACAAAGTGTAGCATATAAAACTGTATGTTCACTTCATTTACAAATATTACAGCCTTGCAGAGTTAAAAGAAAAGGTCAAGTGTCTCACACTTGACAGGCTGAAATGGACAATAGTTGTTATTTTGCTTCTAAAATAMTTTCAATTTACTGTGTTTTTCTGTCAGTAATCACATAGATGAACTGTGCTATAGTTGCATAAAGTTTATCTGATTACTTCAAAATCAAGCAAAGGTTAGCCTAAGAGCAAAAAACAGACAAGTATTAAGAGTTCCACTTTGTTTTTGTCTGGATTTCTATGAGGCATCTTTAAAGCTCAACATGCTGTCTTTGTAACACAAGTTACAACAAATCATTGTAATCTTTAGAAGCACATCGGCGCACAAACTCAARGTGCGTTTCCAACAACATGCCTCACCTTTTCCTACTGCCAGGACACAATAACACACATGTTAAGAGTCAACACAAAGAGCCCAAACTGCCTGCTCCCATTCAGTCCGTCTTACATAAGAGCATGCAGCACCTCTGCACGGGTACCTGCGTCCACACGCATGTTGCTTTTYAACTTACTCAGATCAAATCTTCCTAAACATGTGTGGACTCACTCACAGATGTTTCCCACACACAGACACACACAGACACACACACACAGGCACAGATATAGCTCTTCACTTACCTAGGGACAGTCTTCATCTGTGCCAGCACTCCATCTTGCCTGCTCTTACATCCTCTGTCTCTCACACTCTATGGAGCATGTAGACCAGCTTTGAGTCAATATAACCCTCTGTACTTTCTCTCCCTCTCTCGCTCTCTCTTGCTTTTTCCCTCCCTGTCTCTGTTCATCGTTTGCTCTCCTCTTCTTCTCCCCTCCGTCCCTCCCTCCTCCTTCCCATCCCCTGTAGTTGTGACGTATCTGGTTAAAATCCTCATCAGTCCTTCTCAGGCTGTGCACATGGCACCACTTCCTCAGCAGAAAGGACATTTCTGAGAACCCCAGGAAAAAAAAGGAGTTGGTGGATGGTGTGGGGTGGTGTCTGTGTCTGTGTCTGTGTGTGTGTGTGTGTGTGTGTGTGTCTCAGACAAGGTGTGTATGGCAGATGTAGAGTGAGACAGCAACCAAGAAAGACGGACAAACAAAGCAGATGAGGAGACAAACGCAGAGTGACACCAGCAGAGACAAACACAGACAGAGGCAGACATGTGCAATGCATGATGAAAGGGAGACTGGATGTGAACTCACACAATAGAAAATATTGCTCGAGGGATAAAAAAGGGAAAAAAAGAAAAGAAACTGAAGGACAGAAGGGGGAAATTAAATTCTTTACATTGACTGAGCGGAGCAAAACACACTGGCAGCTATTAAACCCCACTGCCAGGCTCTTTTGTGTTGGCCGATGTCAGACAAGCATATTTGTGTGAACTTGTTATTTGGCTGCATGTGTCCAACTGTAGCAGCCTTCGTAGTAATGACTGCCAGCCGGCGCAGCGATACAATGAATCAAAGACAGCCAACACATTAGCATCAGAGAATTTAGGTCAGGAGAAAAAACATTACTGATGGAGTCAAGGTGAGGGGAAAAACTCACCCAAGACTAGAAACAGATTGTTGTAGTCGTTCAGAATGCAGCATAATGACTTTTAATAGTTTTTATTTTATTTTGTAAGAAACTTCAGCAAATTTGACAACTTCCATCAACTTTAACACATTTGACTCAAGAGACGTTTTTGAGAAATCATTAGATTTTGTGATTTGATTTGCTTGTGTTTTTCCACAGCTCCTAAGTCCCAGATAAATCTGTTTTCCTGTGGTTCTTATGAGTTTTCTAACAGATTGTTTATAAAAGCAGCCCAGTGAAAATTTCAAACTCACATTACTGAGTAGGCAGACTCATTTTCAGGCTGTTTCAACGTATTTTATGAAAACGTCAATATACTGTATTTCTGTGCTTATTTTAATCAACCAATCCATCCATACATCCATCCATCCATCCTTGTCACTTGTCCCAGTCCAGAAGGTTCAGAAGGACCCAGACTTCCCTCTCCTCACGCTTTCCAGCTCCTCCTGAGACATTCCCAGGTCAGGGAGGATATAAACTTAGCACAAAARGTAATGAAATGTGTGTTTGTGTYGATCATTTCTTTGTCGTAACAATGCGTCTTGGCAATAAATCTTCCAGCGAGCACCTGATTGGCAGCACCTGGAGGTACCACAAGCTCAAAACAAGTGTCAATAGCAACAACAAAAATAAGCTAAGAGACTTTTTTTAAACCYCAAAAGGTGAACATGAGCACCATAATGCATCCAAACAGGTTAAACATTGAACTTGTTTCTTAAATTAGAGTTCACGACTGAGAACAAGCAGCTATTTTTCATGTTATTTGGTTAGCCTTTGCTTTAATCTCAACAGCCCTGTATTGATTTTGTGGTTATATTTTTAAATGTTGCATGAAATGATAAAAATTTTGAATGTGCACCGTGTTTTTTTCAGAACTAGCCCGTTGTAGTATTTACTGCAATTTAGCCTTAGAGTCAGTTTTCAGCCTCAGAGTGGTTTGGAGATATTGTGAAATGGGACATTTTTAAATAATTTAAATCAGAAACATCCAGAATATGTCAAAGTCAAATGTTTACAAGATGACAGAGAGAATAAAGACAGCAGACTTAACTTGACTATTTCCACAAAAATGCTTCAAGAAACAATAATCTATGCTGCAATGTGAGTGCAGGAACAAACAACCCATTTAAAAGGTTTTATTTTTATTCATTTATTTATTTTTTATATAATGGTTAAAAAATAACCGTAATCAGCAACAACCAATTAAATTAGCAGTTACCCAGTACAGAGGAGAGGTGGAGGCAGTCATATTGTAAACACATACATTTACTTTGAGCTTCTCATTACCTCATCAATATTGTGTTAACAGACCATTACACAATTACATTCATCCATTTTCTAAATGAACGTGTGGGGTAAATGATGTGAAAAGAGATAAATGAATACTCAGTCTGCCAATGCCAAACCCATCCATCTATAAATAGGAGCTGCAGACATGGGCCACATGTTCCAGTGATTCAAAGCAGAGGCACGAGTGCTCCTGAAGGACACTTTTGTCTTATTTCTGGTCACATGGGACAAAAGATGAGAGTCCTCTCAGGTCCTCCTGGAAAAAGGTTTCCATAGAGCTGTTTCGTCTCTTCGGTGAAAATGAAAAGGTACCCAGATGTGAGCTCAGCCGACACAGGCTGAATGTGCTCTGCGTGTCGCTGGACACCAAACAAAGACACTTCATGGGAACGCTGGTTTAACTYATGGATCGTTTGCAAAGAATTACAAACTTCATGTTCATTTTGGCTGAGCTCGACACACTGACGAAACATTAGAAAAGTATTTTCTTACTTAACTAGGTCATCATCTTGACAGAGACATACTGTCCACACAGTCTTAATTCTTTTGTTAACCTTAAATGGTTGATCTGTAAAATAACCATAAATAGGATTCTCACACTTAACAAGTAAAACTAATGTATTATATTTTGTTTTCTCCCTTGTGTTCCCATTAGTTRGGTAGTTTCCTGCTCCAGCCCCGCCCACTCACACCTGAGCCTAATTGTTCTCTCCCCAGGTGTATGTCATTGTCCCTAATTAGTGTTCCTTTAGATTGTGTCTGTTATTTCCTTGTCTCTGCTTTACGTTTTTCCATAACAAGTCATGTTTGTCCAACACCTGTTCTCCATGTGAATTGTTCTTGTAAGTAACTTTTGATAGTTTTCCATTTCTTTTTGCGCACAATGTAATTTTAATGGTTGTAGTAAAAGCAATAGCGTTCATATGCAAAAACAAACGGTCTAATCCTCAACAATACAATGAAAAGGGAGATTTAAAAAATCTGCTTTGTAAGGCATTAAAACTTTTAATTTGTCCTCACCAYTTAAGGGGTTTTCATGAGAAGAGATGCAAACACTTAACAAAACGGAGATTRAAAATGAAATCTTAGTGTGGACAGAGTCTCAAAGATTATTTGGATTGGATACATATTTTTATAATTTATTTGAAACCATCTTTTGCTGTATTTAAACATTCACTTTGACTTCAAAATGATTTTGTTTTCCTTACTACTGGGTGGGGGGGGGGGGGGGTAACTTGAAGCCAATATGCTGTAGGCTTCATGCAGATTTACAAAGCAGAGCACCACATCTTAACCAGTTTTCTATTTGGACTTTCTTTTCACATACTCAACATTATCAGAATTACAGGTGTGGCACCGTCATGACAGCAGGTTCACAGCAGCATAAGTGAGGTAATACTTTGATTGGACAGGCTCTGACTCGGTCTCATTGTTCTCCACCCATTGTGTCATGGATTTATCTGGTTTGTTGTGTCCAGACCAGTTTCTAGGAAGAAACCTAATCAACTGTGCCTGAAGAATGAAGTCTGGGAAAAGGCGCTGTGGTATTGATCCTCTTTTGGGATGAACACTGAGTAGACTATCAGATGGATTTTTACCAGTGTGGCACTGTCTATAACAGAGGAGCCCAAAGTGGGGCCCGCGGGCCAAATTTGGCCTGCCAAGCCATTTGACTTGGCCCACCAACAGCTGCCAAAGTTATAAGGTTGTAACCTGTTATCCTATAAGTAGAAACACAGTATTTCCATTGGTCAAATGACTAAAAGGGCTGTGGTGAAGGTATTTTTCAGTCATGGTGCTGACTTTATCTTTGATTTATTAGGATTAAACATGAAACATGAAACAACAAGAAATATTTAGATCAGATTTAACCCCGCATGTAGATTTGCACACTTTATAAGGCCACAAAAACTCATTTTATCAATTTATGATATGTCCCATGAGCCTTTGCTACTTGAGCGTATGGCAGACTTTCTCCAAGTGCACAGACTAAAACAAAAGAGGGCCATTGCACAGCTTAATTGTTAAAAATAAAAGACTTTACTTAAAAAAGTGTTTGTATTTCATGTATTATATAAATGCATTTGGCCCGCAGCCATGGATAGATTTTCAATTTGGTCCCCTCTGGGAAAATGTTTGGGCACCCCGGTCTATAAGCTGACAAAACTAACAACCTATAATTGGCATCCAAAGAAAAAAGAGAGTTACCAAACGGTAATATTCAACAGAAGTGATGAGTTTAGAATGGTATTTAGTGACACTGTCAATAAACAGGAAATCTTAAAAAAAGAAAAACTGAAAATCCCTTTATTACAATAAATAAATAAGAGCATCCAGCTGCCATTCATTCAGCTTCAACGTCGGCATAATTACAGCGGCCACATCATTCATAGGGGGGTAATATAAGTAATAAACATCCAGAATGAGTGAGGAAGAGATGGCTGAGAAGGATGGAGAGGCTGGGAGCCAATTTGTGCACGAGCATTCATCCCAGTCCCTGTGCATGGCAAGATAATCTCCTCCCATTACCAGAGCACAAAGCATCGCAGGTTTTCCATTAAGTGTGCGGGCTTCGGCCTCTGTTGCCTCTCAGCCAGCCATTAACTCTGAGATTAAGTAAACCTCTATTTACATACTGTAGAACTGGAGCATGCTGCATTTTTCTTTTTCAGTCTTCGTCACCGTGCAGGACAAGAACCTGCCACACTTTTCGATGAAGATCAAAGGATCTGCTCGCCACCTTCATGTCCTCTGGAAGTTTGCGCTGATGGAGCTTGAATTCTCAGCTCCCTTAAAAAAAATTAAAAATAACYAAAAAACACCAACGCAGAAGGGTCTGTATGTGATTAACATGAATCTTTAAGAATTTATATTTGATATCTTTTCTGCATTGTAAAGCAAGTCCTTAGGCAGTTGACTATAGTTGAAAATCTGTAATTTAACATTTTTATAACTCTCCCCTTTCAGGGACTTGGCTGACTCAATTTTCAACATTCAACCAAAATCTTTTATAACCTGAACTGTCCAGCAAACAAACAAATAACACAAAAACTCACATTTTCTGTTATTTTTTTATTGTAACAATGCTTCCCCTTGGCAATAAATCTGCCAATAAGGCTGCTAATTTCCTCCTAAACTGAGCCACAGTTGCCTTCCTTGCTGCCAGAATTCTTCTTCTGCTGTTTTCTGTTTTGTCTGGCAATCAGGTTTTGCCATACCTGTTTCTCTCAGCACCCTGTCACTTTTTCACCACACACACCTGTCAGCCATCAGTAATCATCCCAGCTGCACTAGTGTTACAAACACCACCGTTTTTTTGTCTAAATTAATTCACAACCTGACTGTAAATTCTTCTTACAGTCTAGTTCTGCCTTGAACTTTTGTTTTCTTTGTTGTTCTTCCTGTATGGTATGTGCATGTGTACTTACATAGTCTCGTTGTATTTGGGGTTATCTTGTGTTGTTGTTGGCCACACAGATCTCTCCATGTCCCGCTCCACTCACCAGCTTCTCATCTTTGATCAGCACACCTGCAATGCAGTCATTACAGTTAGTTGTTTCAGTACAAGGCTGTGCACACTTTGGATTATTGCTTTTATGTCTTCCACAACAGGTTTTTTTTCCCGTTAATTTGAACAGAATATAATGTCCTGTGAGAGAGGCACTTTGCCTTAGTGGGATACCTTACTTCCATGACTCAGTGAGCTATACTGGTGGGAGCATATGCTCCTGTGCTGGACAGGTCCGAGGGCAGAATTCAGACCAAGATCAGCCTCCTGGTTACAGAAACGGCGATAAATGAAGCCGCCCTCACACAAGCGTTCAGAAATGAGTGAGAGATTGTGATAATGTCACAGAAAATGTAAAAAAACATTGTTTTAATTGTTTTATATAAAAATATGACATTTTTACTGAGTTGTGTGTACTTTAAGGACACTCATAATAGATGTTTTGGTTTTACTTGACCAAGTTATGTCAACTAGTTGTACTCAATTGATTTGGGTAAATCCAAAGCAATTTTTACATTTTCTTTTAAAAACAAATGTGTAAGTAAAGTCAACATATCTATTGTTTTTGCATGTATTGACTGTATAACAGGTGTTGTAATGAAGAGAAATACGTGTTCAGAAACAAACAGAAAATGTACATGGAAGCCAGGAGCTGCCATTTTCCGCTTATAATTATTTTCTATGGTTTTCAACATAATTAACTTATCATGACATAACAAAAAAATTGTCGTTATCTCGAGAAAACCATGGGAAAAAATTACTTTTGGAAAACGTCCGCTCTCAGCTTCTGTAAGTTCACCAATATATGACTGTTTGTATTTAAAGAGAATCATAAAACCACACAGATCCAACAGATCTGGACTGAAAAACAGATTTATTGCTCTCGTTTGCATTCAGCCAAGCATCCAGGAAATGTCCAATTTTACAACTTCTACTAGACCTGACCCTGCCTACGGCCATTGCATCACTTGGGGACACCTTCTCCGTTCCAGGGTCAAGTCTTCAGATATTCTTCCTGTTCAGCTAAAGTTTTAATCCCATCTCTTAAGTTGTAAATGTTTTCAGGCATGCATCTACATATCGTTTAGCCATTCAGACCAGTCTGTGCACAAAATCATCATTTTAATCACAAAAATATTCACACAGTAGTTTATAAAAATAGATCATGTTGCACCGAAGAAAAACTACAGAATGTGCGGTGGTTTTAAAAATCAGTAAGTAAACAAACCCCAATAAATTTCTTCAGTAATCTACAGAGCAAAAAGTGACAAAGGTGAATTAGGAGAAGTCCTACAGTCTGGGAATCACGATGCTCTCAGATTGATGGAGATCTGGAAGCTAAAACCTCCTAACTCCTGGATCCTGTTTGAACATTTCCACCTCTCTACGTGTGCCAGGAACAAAGCCTGCAAGATGGTATGACCAGCTGTCTTTAAAAAGTGAACCAGTGCTTTTGGCACATGTCTCAATGAACAAGGTTAAAGTGCTGAGAGAACCTTTATTAACCACCACAACATCAAGTTAGAATAGAAATTATTAAACTGCAGCAACAAAAGCCCTGAGTTCAGTCAGAGCTTGTTTGTTGGTAATGACTGTGAGGAGAATGTGCCTGTTTCTTCTTTTTAAAGGTTTTTAGTCTCCCATTAAGCAAAGTGGTGTTTCAGCTTTTTATAAGGCAGCAGCCGCAGTGTGTTTTCTGATGATGGCAGGATGTGAACGGTGCTAATTTTCTTCTAATTGTTCGAATGACCTCTAAATTCTTCTCATGGACTGACAAGAAACAGTCATGGGATCTGAAATCAGCATCAGTCAGACGAAACTGAAGAGGGATGTCYGTGAGAGCATTTTTTTTTTTTGAACAGGTGGCTTGTTGATGTTTCCCAGGACTGGCAGTTGGTGTCACAGGTGCTGCTTGAACTCCACATCACTCTGCTTTGAGCAGTGAAGGTGAAGGGAGGGGAGGAGGAAGAGAGGGATCATTGGTCCTGTTGGCAGGGAGTCCTGTCCTGTCAAGGTGCATTATTCTTTTCACCACAAGTTGCGTCCTCTTATCAAGTCCCGAGTGGCTCCTGCTCTGACCAAACAAAAAAAGGGGGAAAAAAGCTGCCTTTTTTGTCTCTGTCACGCGCTCTGAACTCTCCCTTATATTATTGTTGCCTTCCTGTTTTTCATACCATCAGCATTTCCTCTTTACCATTTCTTGTCCTGAGGGTTGTTTTTACAGACAGATCCCATTAACTCTAAAGCAAGGTCATGCGTCAAAAGAACAGGTGTACATCTATTTTTTTTCTACAAGTCTTCAGTCACGAACAGTAACATTGAACAAGTTGTCATTTTTCTAATGTTTTGTGACAGAACCAGGCAGCGCAGCAAAAGAAAGAATGACCCCTGTCACACAAAATGATACGTGGACAGAAGGATATTTCCTCAGGAAAGATGTGTTATTTAATGTTTTTGTTTATTGAGCTTTTTTTATTTTTCGTTTTGGAAAAGTTTACGTGCCCAAAACGTCCCTCTGTCATTTCTAGCTGTTCTTTTGGTCTCAGTCGTGTGTTCCCACAGTTACTGCTCAGAGCTGAGACCTGGACCAGGAGGAGGTTCCAGGTTACCTCATTTCTCGCGTTATCTCTCATGAGATTGGATTACTCTCCTGCTGACGCTCCAACCAGCCTGCAGTTTCAGCTCCGAAGCACAGCTCAGCACTAACGCAGTCACGTTATTTGCTACTGACCCAATTAGATCTCGCGATTTATTTCTCTCCACGATTTCTGCTTCACTAATATTTGTCGTTTGTCTTACGCTGCCTTTTTTTTTGCTTCGCTTTTGATGAATGACTTTGATTTTTGACACGAGAAGTCAGTGATAAATTTGTTTGTTTATTTACACACTCAAAAAAAAATCTATCCCTACCTGGGTTTGCCCCATCAGCACAGTCACATAAATAAAAGAGCAAGAAGAGGGATGTGATGGAGGGGAGTGTGGCCCAAAGGCAGGGCAAACCAGAGGAGGGGTGGGAGTGAAAGCAGAGCGGAGGGGAGCAACTGCATCAGATCACGAGTGTGAAGGTGACTTCAGTGAAGAAGTTAGGAAAGAAAAGGGAGATGAAATTTAAAAAAACAAGAATTCAATTAAACTAGCATTACTTGGGGGGAGAAAAAAAACATTTTACCCAAGACCTCATTTGCCAAAATGTTCAGTCTGTTAGTGCTCAGAGTGTGTTAGGAATGACTCACTAAATAAATAAAATAAAATAAAATAAAATAAGATAAATAAATAAAGTCAGTCGAACAACTAAAAGAAACATGCTCTGCAAATATCAGGAATGAACTAGCAGCACAGAGTTTAAGCCCAATTTCAGATTGAATAAATAAATAAATATACAAAAAAAAATAGAACAATCCTCTCAGAACTCTTTTCATAATTTAAAGAAAATTTGTTCTCTTTCTCCAACAACAAACGGAGCAGAAACGCAGAACATGGCCTCAAACTGAGCAGGAATAAAGAGGCGACGAAGAGAGGAAGCAGTGATTGTAGTGAGGTTTGAAGCCGGTGCCCACTGGCATGACATCGTGCTGTGCTTAATGAGGCAACAACGCAGTCAATTAGTAACTTATTTGACATCATCGATCACCAATAAGTGAACACATCATCACCCACAAGACGCCTTCTAGTAGTCTTTTCTTCCTCAACCTCTGTCTTTTGCTCGCATACAAACAGAACAATTTTTACTATCGATCAATTTCGTAATGATGTTTCTTTAGCAACGCAAAAATATAGACTGACCTGGAAAACTAATGATGTAAAGCTAAAGTCTGGACAGTGAAAATATTGGAAACAAAATAATTTTCTGTGAAAATGCAGSGTGAAGGATGAGTGCCTATCTATAGTAGCTGAAACTTAAAGTTAAACCTAAAAAACTGGAACCTGAGCTAAAAGGACACAATGTAGCTAAAAGTCTCAAAACCTTCGCTAAAAATTTTAAGACTAGCTTGAGGCTAAAATTATCAAAAGGCTATCTAAAAGCTTAAAGTAGCAATAGCCAGCTCAAAACTAAAAGTAGCAGACTGATAGCTAAAAACTCAAAATAATAAAAAATAATAGTATGTATGCTGAGACAGTGTAAAAAGAACAATATTTTTGAAGGAACTGAAGGATTAACTGATTGAAGTTCTGTTAAATGAATGGATAAAARAGCATTAAAAWTGCAGTATAGATGGCAACAATCAAAAACTGTAATGTGAAAGCTGAAWCGCCTTTTACGCAATCATGTGTTATGATATGAAGGCTCATATTACATTCTTATCAACATGATAAGAAAACATTAATTAATGGATTGGACGATTACAAACYTTTGCACTGAATGGATCTGCAGGCTGTTTCCCCAACAACACAAACCCTTTTAGTGAACATCTGATCCAGTTTGGTGCAGCTGACTACAAATCTCAACCTCTAAACTGAGGAGTGYCTTGGAGGATGGGTTAATGCATACTTATTTAAGACAAGACCTGGGAAAAATATCCYGAGGAGCTGCATAAATCCAAGATGTGGCACGCTGCTTAAAACTGCATCACTGCCTTCAGCCAGTTCAAACCGCGATGTGAGGAGAAGAGTAAAGTCAGTTTCACTCATAAAGCAGCAGAATTTCTGGTAAATGTGTTGCTGTTCWCACTTTTACTTGATAGCAGGAGTTGGAGATTCTTCACGTAAGGTCAGTCCTCACAGGAAGTGAAGAGGTAGAACACTGAAAACAAACGATATGAGAGTAAAGGTGCCTTACACAAAGCGTGAAATAAAAATTAAAAAATGGAGAACATGATCTATGTRATGCAGTTTAGAAATGTGGGTCCGTGCTCAATAAAAACAAAGCCCATGAATRTAAATACTCTCCAGACATGTAAAGAGTTAATTAAAAAACATTCAATTGACTTAAGTTCATCAGTTCTTAATATTTCTCCAAACCGAGGTCTTTAATCGTGCTATCTACAACAGGTGAGATATTAATTATTTATATCTTTTCCACACAACCCCATTTCAAAGTATTGAAGTGTCGCTTGAACCAGATGTTGTTTACATAATGAGAATTCCAGATTGGCCTCCTAGACGAATGTTTTGTTTTGTTATCAGTACATGCAATTATACTTATCTCCATTATAAAACGCAGGAAGCAACACAGAGATGGGCAGAAAAGATCACAGAGCAGCAGCTCTTATCGGCACTCAGCCTCCCTCACCTTCAGTGCTCTGCAGAATCCAGCCACCGCACTAACACTCTGCACCTATTCGCTGGCTTCCTTAAGAAGTCAGAAGCAAATAACGCTGACATTTATGATCACACATCCCACTCCTACTAAACACGTTTGGATTTTTTTTTTATGCACGGCAGCAACGCGTGACAAAAATTGGCTCAAGGCTACAACTGGCATTAACGCCTGACCAAAAAATGATCCACTTTCCCCCAGTAAAAGCTGCGAAATTGTAAAGATAGATGAAACACCTCRGTCTTTGTGAATAAAAGACAATTGGAGAGAACTTTAGATAGTTTTAGTCTATAAGCTCGYACATAGGATTTAAATTAGGCTTTGTTTTTTACTCAATAAAACTTGAAAAAGATGGAATTTTTGACCGATTCTTTAACTATACATGTAAAATTAACTATAAAGCTTTTTTTCTCTCAGTAAAAAGTCCTAAATGATCCAGACAAACCCAGTTTAAAGGAGTAATACAATTTTTTAAGTGGGGTTCTGTGGAAAGATCATGAACAATTAATATCTTACCTGGTATACATTACTCTTTGACCCACTTCAGTTTGAAAAAACTGAGTTTTTCTCTAAAAGGATATTACAAGCTAACAGCTAATCCTTGTCAGCTAATAACAAAGTGATTTGTAACTTCAATTTCTGTGTCACAACGTGTTACTCATTCCATACTTTAAAACAGCTCCTCGTTCTATGAGTTAACTGTAAGATTAATATTGTCATGATTTCAGGAGTCTGGARCCAGGAATGCAAACAAACGTGGAAGCTTGATGAAAAATCTTCAGGTTCATTGAATAAAACAAAAGGCTGATGTGGAAGACAAGAGTAAAACCTCCTACTTCCTCATTAGCTGCTCATGCTGTATTTATTCATGTAAAGTACTAGAAATTTAACCCTAAAAATCATCCATAAAGATGGAGTGTAGTATTATACACAGATCCTTAATGATTAGATTTTTTTTATGCTTTTTAGGCTCGAAAAATGATCGTATTACACTTGAGATCCTATTATACATGAATAAATACYGTAAGTCTTGCATGTACTGACTGTATTGACTCAGACTTAAATCAACTGGAACAAGACAAACCAGTGAAAATCAAAAGAGACTATAGTTTGCTGTGTATGCTGTGAAAGATTTAGTTAAAATGGGCTGCAAAAGTATTGGCCCCCATGTGTTTCTTTTCCTATGTTGACTCGCAATTTAGCATTTAAATGGATGTTCAGATTCGTTAGCAGTAATAAGAGAATGCATTAGTTTTGAATTATTGTTGTTAGTTAAATCTTTGTTATATTTAACCCTTGTGTTTCAATAGAACAGAAATAATGTTGGTTTGTCAGGTTCTCTCTGGCACAGACACAGAAACAAAACTTTGTGCAAGAGTTTGGGTAGAAAAATGCARGCACATTCTTTTTCCTGAGGCATACAGATGCATAGTTCATCAGTTTTTTGACCGGCTGCATGAGTGCTAACTGGATCTTCACCCTCGTCTTTCCCCATGAATGAARATAGACACGTCTTTAGGCATCAGCATATATACTGTAAGCACAGTTTGTGTTACGAAATTTTGAAAAAAAGCAATAATTTGATGAGGGTTTTTTTTTTTTTTCAAACAAAACGCTGATACAAAAAAAGTGTTTTCTTTAACGGTTTATTCAATTTCGCATTACATACACATATTTTCACAAGACGTTGATGCAAAAATGACAGAAGCTGATGCCTCAGAATTCAGCAGGATGCGGTTAATGAAGCGTGATGCCAG